TCGGCGATTTGGACGATGGTTGGTCGGAGTTTTTCATTTCTAACGTGGCAATCCCATTCGGAGAAGAAGAGATCATGAAGAGAAGCACCCTGGTGAGAATAGTCGATTGGTGTGTTGGAAATGACATGGATCTTTTCGGAACAGGTGATGCTGCTGGAGTTTGAGTGATGATATTTTGGAAATGGTATGGAGGTTCATCGGTTTGGCAATGGTTTCAATTTTAATAAGGCCTAATAGTACAAAACATTCATACATTTGACACTTCTTGTGGAAAACGTCCATACGTTTCAATTTTTATTTATTTATTTTTTTTGCATTTTCATCCCTATTTTCACGTTTCATTGTGGAAAACATCATATTCATCAATTTGAAACGTAAGGATGATTTGCACACTACATGTCAAACGTATGGACGTTTTGTGCTATTATGCCTCTTAATAATTATTTGAATTCACTTGCACTTTTTAAAATATTTAGGAGTAAAATTGCAATTTATTCTTTATTTTTCTTTTCTTTTTTTGGTTTTATTTAAATAGGAGGGTATTTTGATAATTTTACATTCAAAGATGGTGAAAATGATTTTTTAGCAATGAAACGTTGAAATAAGGACAAAAATGCAAAATAAATGAAACGTAGAGACTTTTTCACAATAAGTGTCAAACGTAGAGACGTTTTGTGCTATTAACCCATTTGAAAATCATACCTACATTTGGTTTGTTGGGGACATATTTGTTTATTGGGACGAGATCTTCACTCATACTGGGCCGATTTTTAGAAGATTATTTATTGGACACGTGCATGCATATTTGGGTTAATTGTGCATAATTTAATTCTGGGAAATTACAAGATTTCAGGCATTTAAAGATCAGAATGCAAAAATCATGTAGGAAAGTTTTTTATTCAAAATTCTGGTATTGATTTAGTTATTAATATTAATAATATTAATATAATATAATTCCTAGAATTTAAATCCGTTTCTCTCCTTTCATCCCACTTATCCCACATCTTCGGTGCCCCCGCCCACTGTCGGAGACCATCGTCGAAATCACGGTGACGATCATTTACCTACTTACTGAGGCGGAATCGGCAGTTGCACCTTGTAGTGAAAATGAAATTCCTCTCCCGCACCGCATCGAGCACCGTTCATAGTCACGAGCAGGAGTGACGATGCCAACACAAGAACCACTGCTCGCAGCGCAAGCAAGAGTGTTGCACAGAGCAGATACTGCCAAGATCTGTGAGATTGTGGACTGGTTGGGGACTTTGGGATTGTTGATGAGGACGGTGGTATGGGTGGTATTGCAGGTTATTTTTTTAGTGCACTTATAGTATATGCACTTACCATCCCTTTAATTCTTGGACATATTTTATAGAATTAATCTAGCAGGTTAATTTTTTAGAGTTTAATTCTTGGGAATGCATGTGTTATTTATTTATGTTTAAGATAATATATGCAATTCTAGGATGAATTAAATATGAAAAGTTGTTTAATATGTTCATATTTAATTTGCATGAGTTAATTATATTTTAAATTATTTTATGCAATTTATAATGCTTATGAGAACATGTTTGTCAAAGCTTTTCTATTAAAATTATTCTTATACTGTTAATTTAAATATTAACAATTGGTGGATTGACTCTAGATCTACAATTCATAGTGCAAACTACTTGCAGGGTATGCAAAACTTAAGGAAGTTAGTTGGAAGTGAGCAAAATAACTTATTTGAAAACAAGATGGGCTCACTTGTAGAGGTTGTAGGAACATGCATTTTAATTTTAAGTAGTGGTTTTGTTTTGAAATAAGATCACGAAACTTAATTTCTATTTCTAGACTTGTATCATTGGAATATTCCTTTAATTTTTCAAGCATGTTATTTTGTTTATTGTATAATTCTAATTGTATTGGAAATAATAGTTTGTCCGATGGTCTTTATTGTATTAATTTATAAAACAATATCACTTATAGTTCAATCCATGTTCACACCGGCACTAAACAATGCAATATCAACGATAACTCCTCCATGTTGTGGCACCAGAGATTAAGACATATCTCTATAAAAAAATGAAAAGATTAGTGAATGATGTAGTACTTAGTATTTTTTATTTCTCTTATTTTGACACGTGCATAGACTGCATTAAGAAAAAACAGACCAATAAGTCCGAGAAAGGTGCCAACAGGAGTTTGGATATATTAGAAATCATACACATTGATATATCTTCCGCAGGAGAACAGAATAGGCATCCATTAGCTCTGTCCCTTCGCACAACCGCTTGGATTGCTGAAATCGCTCAATTGAAGCCAAACTTGTTCCTTGATAGAGTGAGATGCCAATCAACGGAGAAGAATCAATCCAAGGCTATGCTCTGGGTTCTGGGAAGGTAGTTCAGTCACACTCGGTGAATAAGCAGTGATTCCTCTCTTAGCATCTTACCCAACTCGCATGGTCCGAAATATTTCATCCCCTTTATTGATGATTATTCATGGTATATACATTTCTACTTGTTTCATAATAAGATCGAAGCATTGGATGCCTTTTAAAAGCTTTAAGGTTGAAGTAGAGAAACAATGTGAGAAGCAAATTAAGATCGTAAATCAAATAGAGGTGATGAATATTACAGTAGATACAAGGAGGATGGACAAGAACCTGGTCCGTTTGCTAAGTTTCTTCAAGATCATGGTATAGTTGCCCAATATACCATATATGTTTCACCAGACTAGAATGGTATGGCAGAAAGAAAAAATAAAACATTATTAGACATAGCACGGAGCATGTTTAGTAACTCCAATCTTTACAAATCCTTGTGGACTAAAGCATTTAAGACGGCAACGTATATATTAAATCGAGTTCCAACTAAGGCTGCCCCAAAAATGACATTTGAATTGTTAAAATTTTAGAAACCAAGTTTGCGACATATGCACGTTTGGGGATACCCATCTAAAGTGATGATCTATAATCCCCGAGAGAAAAAGTTGGACCCAAGGACCATTAATGGTTATTTCATTGAATGTGCCTAAAGGTCTAAAGGATACAGATTTTACTGTCCATTTCATAGCATTAGGATTGTGAATCAATAAATACTAAGTTTCTTGAGAATGACTTAATAAGTGAGAGCGATCAAACCAAGATCAAAGTTCCTGAGCATGATCATTTAGAATCTCAACCTTCTACCTCAAGTGACAGATTAGTCATAGTTCACAGTACCCCCAAGTACAAACAGGTGTTGAATAAACAATTATTGAAATTTCACAAGCTGTTGACAACGTTCAAGTTGATCAGGTAATTTAGGAATTACTAGAGCCTATTGAAAAAACAATTGAACCACAAGCTTCTCAGGAAGATGATGTTATAACATTAAGAAGATCCAGCAATCCCTAGTGCTTATGAAATATATCTACAAGAACCTGACTACAGTATTGGGGCCAAAAATGATCTTGAATCTTTTTCACAGGCCATGAGTTATAAAGAGTCAAAATTATTGTACAATGCCATGAAAAAATAGATGAGTTCCATGAAAAGTAATAGAGTCTAGGATCTTGTTGAGTTGTCTAGTAGTGCCAAAGCTAATGGCTATAAATGGGTCTTTAAGACTAAGAAAGATTCATTGGACAACGTTGAGAGATAGATGGTGAGACTTGTTTCTAAAGGATTTACTCAAAAAGAGAGAATCGATTACATTGGACCTTCTTTCTGGTATCTAAATAGGATCCTCTACGTCGCATTTTTGGCATTAATAACCCAATTTGACCATGAGTTACAACAATTGGATGTGGAAACAACATTTCTCAATGGTGATTTAGAGGAGGGGGTTTATATGAAACAACCTAAAGGATTCGGCTCTATATAGGGTCTAAAACAAACGTTCCTTCAATGGTATTTTAAATTTCATGAAGTAGTTTTTTCATTCGAATTTATTGAAAATCCCCACAGATCAATGTACATACCCGAAGATTAGTGGAAGTAAGATTTGTTTTCTTGTTTTGAGACTTCTTCCCATGGTGTATGGATTAAGAGTTTCATATCTGTACTTCGAGTTATGAATTCCATTCTAGGCCATTGAATTTATTGAAACAATTCAATTGTTGTCTTTATAGCTAAAATAAACAAAAATTGTATCGAAGTAAATATATCGACATTAAGTATTTAGACATAAGGGAATGTAATAAAGAAAATATAGTGGTCGTTGAACACGTAAGTACTGAATTGATGATCGTTGATCTTTTAACTAAACGCATGCTACCATTGAAATGCAAGGATCGTGTAGAGAAAATGAGACTTGGTTCCACTATGTAATGATATATACAGTTTTTGTATGAAACTTTTATTTATTGTAATGTATTTCGTTATTCATACGCACCTTAATTTATTTAAGAAAATACATTTATGTCGGACCAAGAATACGACATATGGTATTTTCATTAAGTATTATTACCTTATAAGGAATAATTCATAACGAACTAGATACATTGTAATAAATGGAAGATAATACTTATTATTAGAGAACTCATTGCCACAATTCATGTGTTTATGTCTTAAGAAGGACAATCAATGGGATTGAGTTGAAACATTACGTTGAACGTATGGACTAAGTGGAAGAATATAACACATTCTTTTCTCTATTAATGGTCCACCATCATGGTTTCAATTCAACATTGATGAAATTCAATTTTACCATCAATTGAAGGATAACTTTAGCGATGGCTTGATGGGAGCTTGGCTCTATATAAAGGGATTTGGTCCATAAACTCAAACACCACCGAAAATACACATTATACATCATTTATTTCAGAATGTTGAGAGTTTGGAAGTGCTATTACCTTAAACAAATGAGAGCTTCTACAACAACATCAATGGCAGTAGTATGAACTCAATCCATGAGTTTTCTATTTTTCGATCCAATTCGTTTCCGCACAATTGTTATGGATCAATTTTTAGTCTTACATTTCATTCAATATCCCAAAATTTCTTTAATGAACTTGGTAGAATTGATCGAACAATTTAAAAAAAAAAAATGCAATACCACATAGAACATCCTTTTATCAAATGGGCCCAAACCCACAAAAATGGGGCTTAATTTTATGTGTGAATTTGGAGAACCAAAAATAAGCATTTGCATTTTGCTCTTGCCCAACAACAAAAGTTAATTAAACAATTTTAGTTTTTCACCATCAAAGATTTGTCTTTGAAAAGTCTCATGCTTAGGGCATTTAGCATTGCCCTAGAGTATTGTCGAGAAGCCATCTTCCAATCCATGCCCTTTGTCATCATCACTTTGAACTCCGCATAACTAATTCGTCCATCCTATAAATGTAAGTTTAAAATACAAAAAACCAAAATTTAAAATCTAAGTGAAGAAAAATGTAATTTGCGAAACGTTTATCGTGAAAGACAATGGTAAGACCCAAATTACCTTGTCCAAATCGGCATCAAATATGATGTCTTGTACGAGCTGGTCACTGGTAGGATCAGGATGTTCATCTAACAAAGACTCTCTCAACTCCTCGAACTCAATATATCCACTCCCATTCTTGTCAAAGTAAAGAAAAGCTTGATTGAGATGATCTTCACCACTCATCCTTTTCAGGTGAACGGCGAGTGTCAAAAACTCTTCACAGTTGAGCATGCCGTTTCCATCAATATCGGCCTTTATAGATGCCATAAACAAACCATAAAGATTGATAATAATAAAAAATTATATATTAAAAGAAATTAGTGGTGCAGTCAATTGAACGAAGTGTAGAAAAACATTGACATTGGTCTTTTGTTTTACATTTTGCAACTCCAATGAAATAGGAAGATTCTTATATCTAAAAAAGAAAAAGAAAAAACTAAGTGCTTCCTTTTTGCTGTATGTGGAATAGATTAAATTATTTTCTTTAAATTTTTTGGGTATAATAAGAAAATTTATAAATAAAAAAAAAGGGTTAAAATTACTGACTGCATCGAGTAGCATTTGTACATCAGCATCAGGAATTGAATGTCCAATCATATTTAGACCATCTTTGAGCTCTTGGAAACTAAGGTTTCCATTTTTGTCTGTATCCATCAAATGGAACATTTTTTTAATTCCATCGACTTGATCGTCTGGCAAGTTGTCTGCTACCACCTATTTAGTCAAGAAAAAAATTTAAAATTTTATTTATTAATATCGATACACTATTGCATAGCAATCACGATATTAAAATTTTGAAAAACATAGACATAATTAACTAACTCTTAGAACTCTTTTCTTGAATTTATTCATCAATGAGAACTGCTTGATTCTCGTTCTTACACCTTCTCCCAATGGAACATTCGAGACCTTATCGGCATTTTGAATCCATTTATTTTCTTCACATTATATAAGGAAAATAATAATTAGCTCAACAAATATAAATAATTAAATGATATAATCAGAGGAAATTAATAATTGGATTATAATTAAGTTTGTACCTAAGACTTCTTCAACTGAGAAGCGGGTGTAAGGATTTTGCTCCAGCATACCCTTAACCAGATCCTTGGCATCTTCAGAAATTCTTGGCCATGGATCCCTTTTAAAATCTATTTCTCCTCGCACAATTGCATGTGCAATTCCCTCTTCCGTGTCTGTTGTAGACAACCAATTTGCAGCCCATGTGCATGTATAAGAGACGAGAACGAGAAAGTAGAGGCAAAAGAGATAGATCAAAAAGTAAAAGCAGCTCTACGTTATCCCAAAAAAAGTCTCTCATATTTTTATCCTTTCGATAGGCAAAACAAGTTTCTAGAAATGATGAGGCAAAATTGTTAGAAGCGGCATAAAATAAGGATCATTCTTGGGGTACATAATGGACACCATAATGGTGTCCATAATCCCCAGGTGGCGCCACCCCATTGGAGGAGGTGCTGGGCCCACAGGCGGGCAATAGGGGGTGCCACCTCGACATTATGGACACCATTGTGTACACTTAGAATATTCCTAAAATAATACCACTCTCTTAAATGAGATTGGCATGACTCACTTTCGACTTGTACACATGTATGTGCTGAAGATAAACTATTTGACGGATTTAAAACGTGGGGATTTAGCCTAGCTTAAAAAAAGAAAAATTAGTCAGGCTCCGCCACTGGTTTAACATGGTCTCACGCAAAGGTCTAGAGTTCAAGTTTGTCGCCAACCATTTAATGAAATTACACGCATTTCAAGATTTGATGGGGAAAAGAAAATGAAACATGCCTACATGTGAAGGGACGTATTGAAATTAATATTTAAACTATGTAAATTAAACTATGTAAATGTCAACTTATCTAATAGTTTAATTTTTTTTTATCTATTGGTTCAAAGGTGTCAAATAGTTGGTCAAGGCACGACATGCAAGAGTTGATTCTTGATATCAACAACCCTTTTGTAGTTTTTGTTACCGAATTAGATCCTCGATAGCAAAAGGGGACAATATCTTATTCTTGGAAGGAGACTGTCATAGTACTCGACACGACACCCCACTTTGCACCTATACGTACACATATTCATCTATATTTACATAAACATGTCTGTTTAGCTAAGTTGATTAAATTACCTGCCCAGAAGGGTGGAACTCCACATAGCAAGATGTAAAGAATAACGCCTGTACTCCACACATCAACTTCTTCTCCATAATTACGTCTAAGGACTTCAGGGGCCATGTAATATGGGCTCCCAACAATTTCAGCAAATCTCTGACCTAAACTCACATATTAATTAAATAGGATTTATTGCTCTTTGTATTAATTATTTATTTAAGAGAATCAAATTAATTAAGAATATATACCAGGCTCAAAAAATATGGAAAGGCCAAAATCAATAGCCTTGAGTGGAGCATCTTCAGCAGTGCTTGCATATAAAAAGTTCTCCGGTTTAAGATCTCTATGTATTACTCCATGTTTATGGCATACCTGACACAAGTAGATACACACATAATAAATTCTACTTCAGCAATAACTAGTTAAACACATTATCAAAACGCAGAAACAATTTCACTTATTTACAAAAAATTGTGCACGTGTCAGGCTTTTGATCAAATGAAAAATTCAGACATGTTTGGGTTTATCGGGGTCAGATTTGACAGCCTACCATTGATTCCATTAAATAGATATCTAGACACTTATATAATTGATGAATTTGTTGTAGGAAAAAAATGAAATGTCGTCGAACAAGATGATAGGAAGAAATGGGTGTAACTTTTTATTTTCTCTTTTGAAAATCAATAGAACAATTATACTAGCTATAAAGATAAGACGCTCTTAACAACGGACGGACTAGCTGATAGTGGATTACAATGAGACTGATGAAAAAATAGCACGAGAAACAAGATTATGGCTCACTTTATTCCCTTTTCGAGGAATAAAACAATACTATTGTTGGGTTTAATTATACCCAATAATCCGGGCGATGATTTAAAACAGTTGTCAGATTATTTATCGACACCATGGACTTGGCTCGACTCGGAGACGAATTACACTTTTGGATGGCTCGGGTTTGGATTGGATGTTTATTTGGTTAGTTGGACCATTTAGTGATTAATATGGAGTTGAATATTAACCCATTAGTTTAGGTTAATTGGTAGCCCTCTTAGTGAACCCTAGGCCCAATTGGAGTGACATAAACTAACCTATATATATGTATTTATCTCCTAGCCGTTTTAGGTGGTGTGTGTGTGTTGTAGCAAAGGAGAGGAGAGTTGAGAGAAGAGAGGCAATCGAAAGAAAGAGAAGCCATGTGAGGTTGTGAGTGAGATTCAATCATTGTGACATCTTTTTCTTCCTCTCCATATCTTTGTGGATTACTAACACCACCACCCTTCTCCTTTGTGGGGTTTGAGAGAGTTTGAGCAGTGTAAAGTGAAGGTGAAAATCTCGGGTTGAGCCGAGGTAAATCGATACTCGTTTGATTGTTTTTTGAGCCCAAAATCAAGATTTATCGAGGGATTTCCGCTACAAATAGTATCAGAGCTTGTGTTGTTGATAAATCTGTGATTTTTGGGGCTAAAAAGGGGCTGGAAGTGGTCAGAAACAGATCTGGAAATCAGAGGCAGAAACTGTCCAGTTTTTTAAATTTCTGTCGGATCTGTTTTGGCATTTTCTGGTGAAACCAAAAGGAGTTTGGCAAAATGGACACTACTGGTGGACTGTGCAGGCGGAGAAGAAGCCGGAAGGGTGACAGGTCGCCGGCGCGTGGGTTTCCGTTCATGGCGCGTGAGGGCGCGTGCTGCAGATTCTGGCGATGGTGTCTTCAGACAGAATGTTTCTGATGATGATACGGACCCTGCAGTGTTGTCGGATTTCAATTTGGAGCAATACAGTGAAAGTTGGACGATTTTGCCCTTGGACGTTCGGGTGTCGGGTGCTGTTTTCGTGTTACTGTGGTTGCTGGTGACTTTAGGATGAATAGTGATAGTCCTAAGTGGTGAATTCATGTCTCTCGATATTTACGGACTTCAGACGTGGTCCATTCGGTATCGTATTCTTTGCTTTTTATTATTGTAATTGAAATAAATATGTAGAGTAATTTATTTTTTGCATTAGAAGTCATCGTGTGAGGTGACATTAGGTTTGAGGTTACCATGAAGGGGTAACAATTGTCTGTTGCTAGACCTAGAAATTATTTGTTCATTATTTGCCTTAAATTCTTTGTGAATTTACTGTCAATTTTTCTACATTATTAGAATTGCATGTGGCCTTAGAAAAGTTTACTGGACTATTCTATATAAATTATGTTCATACTTTACTTGTGGTCATTATTTGGCATTGGTGGCAAACGTAGGTCTAAGGTAAGTGCGAAAAATAACATATATTTTAACTGTGGTAAAATTTGGACATAGTTGAAAGAGATTGTCATAGGATGATAATAAAAGAAAAGATGAGGATAGAGACAAGGCGAATGTGACTTTAGGGTCGAGTAGCGATCCTAATGAGGTTTATTGAGAGAATAAACATGGTTCTTGCATTGCATCTGTGTATAATCATTTCTGCATGTATGTGGCCACTTAATTCTGTTGCAACGTTGGTATGTTACACTTTCAATATGTTTGATGTATGTAATTGCATGAATTGAGTGTGATCTTTTTACTTTGTGTAATGTGTTTGCATGCATAGTGAGTTAAGTTTTGTGGCGTACTTTGTTTACTCTGTGAGTGGTGTGAGAGTGTGGTAGTGAGAAGAAAGTTGGGCAGCCGTTTCTTTCCTTTAATCTTTGTGAGCCTGTGTGGTTTTGTGAGATTATGTGAGGCGGTCATGTCAGAGTTACCTTCTTTATCTTTGTGAGCCTTCTTTGTGAGTGTCGTGAAGTAACTGACTCTTTCTTCGATTTCTCTTTGTGAGTGCCACCTTCGCCGTTTTCTTTGTGGATTTTTTGGAGCTTTGGTGATTGGAGTAAGCTTTGTGGTACCGAAAGGTGTTGATTTGCCATAGTGAGTTTGAGATGCATTAGCAATGTGTTAGATGTCTTTTGATAAGGTGGAGTATAGATACCAAGGGGTACATGGTGATTTGTACCGGGGGATGTAAAGTGTGACATTTGGATCACGAGTGGAGATGTAATCAAATGTGTAGAATTCTTTATCTGTGAAAGAGACCTTGTGCAAGTGGAGTGTGAGAGAGACACTTCTATCACTTCTATAAGGTGGAGTCTCATTATCCACGTAGGTTGGGAGAAGTGATATGGTGATAGAGGATTATCCCGAGAGCTTAGGATCTATTGTGACTTGCCAGTTAAATATGAGTTAAGTGATTGGTTTAGTGAGCATGGTGGGCGATGAGAGGAGATATGTGTTCTCGAGGTGGAAGTAACATGGAATGGGATAGGATAAGTGTGGTGAGATATTTTCTTAGGGTCATTTATGCATTTGTTGCATATGTGCATGACCGTGTGTTGATTAACTAGGTGTTAATCTGTGATTCTGTGTGAACATGGTTTTGAAAAGATTTCTATGTGTGTTATCCTATATATATCTTCATTGCATGATTGTTTGTTTATTGTGAATACTTGTTTCTATTTGAGTGTTCTTGACCTTAGCCCTGTGAGTACATGGAGCAAGTATGGTATGTGTTTCGATTCGAAATACGAGGTAAGGTCTGTGATTTCAATTTTATTGGATTACCTTGATTGTGCAAGTATAAACTGTGTGTTTTTGTTGCTTGCAGATTATTGGGTATCAAGGTGGAGATTGTTGGATTTTTTTATACCCAATAATTCGGGCGATGATTTAAAACAGTTGTCGGATTATTTATCGATACCATGGACTTGCTCGGCTCGGAGACGAACTACACTTTTGGATGGCTCGGGTTTAGGTTGGATGTTTATTTGGTTAGTTGGACCATTTAGTGATTAATGTGAAGTTGAATATTGGCCCATTAATTTAGGTTAATTGGTAGCCCACTTAGTGAACCCTAGGCCTAATTGGAGTGAGCTAAACTAACCTATATATATGTATTTATCTCCCAGCCGTTTTAGGTGGTGTGTGTGTGTGTGTGTTGTAGCAATGGAAATGAGAGTTGAGAGAAGAGAGGCAACCGAAAGAGAGGGAAGTCATGTGAGGTTGTGAGTGAGATTCAACCATTGTGGCATCTTCTTCTTCCTCTCCATACCTTTGTGGATTGTTAACACCACCACCCTTCTCCTTTGTGGGGTTTGAGAGAGTTTGGGCAGTCCAAAGTGAAGGCGAAAGTCTCGGGTCGAGTCGAGGAAAACCGGTGTTCATTTGATTGTTTTCTGAACCCGAAATCAAGATTTATCGAGGAATTTCCGCTACAACTATCCTATTCCCAACTTCCGTAAAAAGAGCTAAATGAGCAATATTACATTAGGATTTTTCACTTTTAGACTTAAACCACCATAGAAACATACTCTAAAGTTGTCTATTGGCACCTTGAAATTAGGTTAACATAATTTAGAAATGATCATATTAAAACTTGGGAGGAGTCTTTTGTAAATTCCAATTTCATGGTCTCAATTATGTCTTTGCAAACAAAACAAACTAAACATTAATTGGAAAAAGAAAATAAAACAAAAACCCTTGAATAATTTGGTTTAAAAAGAGAAAAAAAAGAAAAAGAAAATACATACCTTGACAACCTCAAGAATGGTTTTTGTAACAAGGGCAGCAGCTCTTTCAGTATAATGTCCTCTTGCAACAATCCTATCAAACAATTCTCCACCTTCACAAAGCTCCATAACCAAGTAAATGGCATCTTTGTCCTCAAAAACCTCCTTGTACCTAACAATATTAGGGTGTTTTGGTAAATGTCTCATTATTTCAACCTCTCTTCTTACATCCTCAACGTCAATTTCTGTCCTAAGTTTATTCTTTGATATTTTCTTGCATGCAACTGTCTCCCCATTTTCAATGGCACTACATTGATATGTAATTCCAAATTCACCCCTCCCCAATTCTTTCCCAAATTCGTATTTCTTGAAAATGTTGTCCGGCGTCGGATCTTTTAGAACTTGGATTGGACGTGACATTTTTTGCGATAAGGGCATCGATGTCTTTCCACTTGCATCCTTGCCATGTTCGGATTCGTAGTACGATATTGGCTTTTGTTGTCTGGATTTCTTCAAGAATCTTGGATTGCCCTGCACAGACATGCAGGTCCCCATGGGATAATATTGCCAGTATTTTCCTTTTTTCCTCCTTTTTTTTTATTGAATCTGTTAATGTTGATTATCCCACAGGAACAACGGAAAATGGAAAGCGAACAAGAAAGAAAAAGGGAGAATGGGGTAGAGAGAGAAAAGGAGTCGAGAGAGAGAATTTGCTTATTTTTTGGAAAGTATCTGGTGAAATTTGAAAAGCAGTTGTTTTGCTTCATTTGTATGTCCCGCCTTTTTCTCATGCCCTTGCATCACTTTTCATTGGGTTCATTCCTCACTTTTCATTGACAAAGACTAATAATTTTTTTATCCCATGAATTTCCATTTAAAAAAAGAATCTAATGATTTTACCTTAATATTATCTTGGTATAAATTTATAAAACAGAATATTAATCCTAGCGGACAATGTCAAATACTCCAAGGTGAAACATGTATTGATCCAACCCCAATTTCAGGTATGGCACATCAAGAAAATGTGAAACCCACCAGGTTAAAAATTGTAGTGTGATGTTAAATTTTTATTAAATGGACAATAGACAGCAAAAGGGATCGTCGGCAAAAATGGGACATCATATATATGATAAGAAAAGATTTCAGGCCCCTTCTCAATAGTGATCAAAACTAATTTGTCATAACTAGTTGTAACAGATGCATCTTTTCCATTTGGCACTAATTTATTTAGGGAGTTGAGAAATAATGCAATAATATTCTCTATTTTCTCATCTTTAGAGAGCATGGTATCTGAATTGTACTAGCTCATATTGAGACCCTGTGTCAAATATTAAATGAGACTCACAATTTTTATCAACTTTTAAACTATATGCTTTGTTATGCCTTGGGACACATGGTTTCACGTAACCAACCCACTATAGCCCTTGGCCCACTTAAGCCGGAACACATGGCATGGTGGCCAACGTCCCGAACCCGTGAATGCAACCAAATTTAACACTTCAATCGAAGCTTAGCACTGTTAGGTCTGAAGAGCAATGGCCGAGGTGGTTCACCCTTATGCCCACGGGCCGAAGCTGAGACTTCCGAATTGCCTTCACTACCACTTCTTCTAAGAGATCTGTTCCTACACAAATATTTTCTTCGAATGATTAATAGGATGTCTATCATAGAGTTTAAGTGTCAAGTTTTGTCAAACAAAGTAGCGACTTTGTCAATTAATAAATGTAAAGTGGGCTAACGAGTCAAAAGTGATGCTTAGAATTAGATGTTTGGATCAAGGAGATAAGGCCACGGGTACTTCCATCCGAGAGCCACAATTTACTTTGTACAATCATAAATACCCCCCATGCTACCATTGTATGGCTAATGCAACTTTGAATACAAAATTGAACACAAAAACAAATACCAAAGAACTTACTACATTTTATTCTCTTGCTACACAATCGAGTTTACGTTCATATTCATCAACCACGATTGGTAATTATTGCACAATCGTTTTTACAAATGTCTTGTCAAAATCTTGAACGTCATCGTCCTGCGCCTTTGAGCCGCTCCCACGCCTCCTATCAGATCGTTTTAGACTGTCCACGTGTCTTAACGTGTTGGACTAGGCTTACATGTGTGCAGATAAGTCTAGTATGTGTTGTCCGCGTGACCCAACCGGAAACGAGGTCAACATGCTCCATCAATTTTTATCAAAATTTTCTCAAAAACTGATTTCAAGCTACACCAATCAGGGCTGAGTGAAATTAGTCAGGTTAGTACTTTGAGCATATTTCATTATTACAAGCTATTGACAACATTTTAATTTTGTACACATCTTAAAATTCAAAAATTTGAGAAGGTTCAATCCAAAAAATCTCGGAAAGAACAAGTAACCCAATATGAGTGATTCTTGGGTCCGCCACATGCCCCCTCGTTTGGACAGATATCTGTTTGAGCAGATTACCCAATATACCAACATATTTGTGAATTGGCAACAAGAAAAAAATGCAACCCTACACAATTGGCATTAGCTTGGGTTCATCGACAAGGAGATGACGTGAGTCACATACCAGGGATGTGCCAGCAAAATTGAGAACCTGAACCAAAATAGTGGGGGCATTATCAGTGGAATTGACAGCATATGAAAAGGCTGAACTGGAGTCCTATGCTGCAGCTGATGCTTTTGAAGGGGACGGCTGACTTTGATGAATTTAGATACATGAATTATGCTCTTTTGCCAGATAGGTTTAACACCTTGATTGACAGGTAAAAGTTTTGGCAAAAAAATAATTGAATGGCAGTATTGACTATTGTTGAATAATCGACCTCCAATCAATGGATTTTTCGGACTCAGTATACCAATCTCAACCTTACAACAGCTAAGCAAATCACGACCCAAACCTTCAATCCTTCTTCTACACTCCAGTTGCTTCACCTTGTACCCACTAAGGACACAATAGAGACGGTGTTTTTTCGGCCACAAAGGCTATGAAGAAACAAGAAGAAAAACAGCCGAGAGAGAGCACAAAGCAAAAGGAGCACAGAGTTTTCTTCCAAAGCCAAGAAACACACGTGAGAGATAGAAGACTAAGGGGCTAGCTTATATAGTTTAGGTTAGGTCAAAGTTGTGTGGGCCAAGTCCAATACGAATACCAGTAACTGGGCTAACAAAATAAGCCGTCCAATGAGTGTGAAAGTCGAGCAATGAGCAACACTAATTAATTAGATTGCTTCCAATGGTTCAAATAGTTTTAGGATCGGGTCCTCAATCTTAGGTGTCGATAATTAATTTATCCAACGTCAGTTTAACATCATCGCTCGAAATTATTAGGTATCAAAAACCCAGCAATCTCCACCTTGATGCCCAATAATTTGCAAGCAACCAAAACACAAAGTTTAAACTTGCACAATCAAGGTAATCCAATAAAATTGGTATCTCAGACCTTACCTCGTGTTTCGAACCGAAACACACACCACACCTGCTCCATGAACTCACCGGAGCTAAGGTCCAAAAACACCCAAGTAGGAACAAGTATCACAACGAACAAATAATCATGCGATGAAGATATTATATAGGATACTACACACATCTTTTAAGAAAATCACGTTCATACAGAATTAAAGATTAACACCAAGTTAATCAGTACACGGTCAAACTCATATACAACAAATGCATAAATGACCCCACGCAAGATCTCACCACACTTATCCTATCCCATTTCGTGTTACTCCCACCTCGAGAACGCATATCTCCTCTTATTGCCCACCATGCTCGCTAAATAGATCACATAACTCATGTCAAATTGGCAAGTCACAATAGATCCTAAGTTTTCGGGATAATTCTTTATCACCATATCACTTCTCTCAACCTACGTGGATAATGGGACTCCACCTTAGAAAAGTGATAGAAGTGCCTCTCTCGCACTCCACCTGTACATGGTCTCTTTCACAGATAAATGATTCTACACATTTGATCACATCTCCACTCGTGATCCAAATGTCACACTCCACATCCCCCGGTACAAATCACCATATACCCCTAGGCATCTATTCTCCACCTTATCAAAAGGCATCTAACACACTGCTAATGCATTCTAACCTACTATGCATGCAAACGATCACACCAAGTAATCACATTACCTCAAATTCATGCAAACACACGTATCAAATAAATTGAAATGCAACATATAGTCATACAATAAATTAGGCAATCACACACATACTGAAAGGATCACACACAGATGCATATGCAGTGACTAGGTTTACTCTTTCAATAAACCTCACTGGGGTTATAACTCGACCCCTCAACCACATTCGTCTCACCTCTCACATAACCCTTCTACTTGGGACAATCCCTAATAAAGTATCAAAACTTACTACAACTATAATATCATCTACCACTAAACTTGTCCCGTTCCTTACCCTTCATCTTACAATCTTCATCACTCGAGTTACTACTCAAATCACCACTATTTTGAGCTCTACCCAAATTCATTTTCTTAAACTTCATCCCACTCCTTATCATGTGTAACTCACCACTCCTCTTATCTTCATTTTCAACCTTCATTTCCATCTCCTTACTCCTAAATGAGTCTATGACAATCTCGGGAGTCAACGTATTCCTACCATACTTAATGGCATTTTTAACTTCCTTATATGACTCAGGCATAGAATTAAGCATGATTATAGCCTTGTAGGTTTCAGATACGATTTCTTCACAGTTAACAATATATTGGACAAGTTTATTGAAAACATCTAAATTGTCATCAAGATCTTTTGAATAATCCATTTTAAAATTGAAGAAACGCTCAAGAAGATAAAGTTTATTGTGAGTGGATTTTAGCAAATATAGATCTTCCAACTTTTTCCAAAGATCTTTTGTGGTTTTCAGTTTCCTACTTTTCTCAAAACAGTGCCAAACAGATGTAAAATGATTGAGGTATAAGCAAGTTCATCGACTTGTTCTTTTTGTGCTTTTGAAAAATTAGCTGGAAAATTGTTTTCAATAGCTTTTGAACCTTTTGTTGGACTAAAATGCCCTTCGTTTTTTGTTGTCAAATTGAAAAATCACGTTTTCCATTGAAAATACCAACTTCGAAATGCGAAGACATTTTTGAAAAACGAAGCAATCAATTGGGCAAATAGATCGCACAAAGTAATCATACGACCGCAATATACACTGTTCTAGATTTCCAAGGTTTCGTAAGACTCGTGGTCTTAGATCAAGGGAACGTTCGAACGGGTAAGGTCTAGGTATTCTAACGAAAGTAACAAAACACAGCGGAATTTACGATGCAACAAAAAATAGATAGATCCAATCAAAAGAAATTTCACGGCAATTTTAGCACAAAGCACAATGCGTTAATTTATCCAAGAATAAGTACTCAATCACAAAAGAGCAAGTAATCCTAATTTCTAGCACAAGCAATGGTTGCCAAGCAATGACAACCCCTAATCCCAACGATCACCCTACACGATGATCTGCTAATACTAAAATTTAAACTAAGATAAGCCAATATACTAGAGTGGACCTATCTGAGTCCGTAAGTTACGAGAAATGCGAATTTATCACTTTAGAACCACCACTATTCGTCCTAAAATCTCTGAAAACTGCAGTAACGAAGAAATCATGATCGAGTCCCGAACGCCCGAAGAACAACGCTGTCCAGATTCTTTTGCAGGCCCTGAAACATATAACTTTCAACACAAAAAATGTTAGAAATAACGTTAGGAAGAAACTACCTAAAGGGACCTCCTCCAGAAACGACCGCACGCGCCTTCGCTGGATTGCCCACGCGCCGCCGTCACCCACACGCGCTAGCCACCCAGCGCCGCCTCCACCTGCAGATCATGAATCTGGCCTCCGTTTCACCAAAAGACGTCTGGATTAGCCGAAAATTGAAGTTGCAGATCTGGTTTTTTGTGAAAAAATTTCTAGACAAATTTTCTGCTGATTTCTGCCGATTTTCCAGTCGGATTTTGCTCGGAATTCCACCCCAACCTCGCTCTGATACCAAATGTTGAATAATCGACCTCCAATCAATGAATTTTCTGGGCTCAGTATACCAATCTCAACCTTACAATACCCAAACAAATCACAACCCAAACCTCCAATTCTTCTTCCACACTCTAGTTGCTTCACCTTGTACCCACTAAGGACACAATATGGACGGTGTTTTTTCGGCCACAAAGGCTATGAAGAAGCAAGAAGAAAAACAGCCGAGAGAGAGCACAAAGCAAAAGGGGCAGAGAGTTTTCTTCCAAAGCCAAGAAACACACGTGAGAGATAGAAGACTAAGAGGCTAGCTTATATAGTTTAGGTTAGGTCAAAGTTGTTTGGGCTAAGTCCAATACGAATATCAGTAAGTGGGCTAACAAAATAAGACATCTAATGAGTGTGAAAGTCGGGCCATGAGCAACACTAATTAATTAGGTTGCTTCCAATTGTCCAAATAGTTTTAGAGTCGGGTCCTCTATCTTGGGTGTCGATAATTAATTTATCCAACGTCGATTTAACATCATCACCCGAGATTATTGAGTATCAAAAACTTAAGAACCCCACTCTTCACTTCAAATTCGTGGGAGTGCCAGAATTGCTTCTCATCATCCGGCAGTGTCAAGAAAAGTTCCTCTGATACTATATACTCTACCCCAATCAGCCGCCCACACTGCCGGAAATCCCCGTTTAGATGTCCACAGAAATGGTGCGCTTCCACCTGTCGAGTCATATCATGTCCATAGAAATGGAATCTGAGACCAAACAGACATTTTAACAAACAGGTAAATAATCACGTCAATTTTTCTGCAAAAGTATACAAATCAATGCAAAACAAGCGAAATTAGAGATTAGCAGAATAAACGATCTTGACATTCATATTCTGCTTTAAAATATGAAGTCCCTTTACATTAGAATAGATCTCCTGCGCATGGGATAAAAATTTCTCATTATCGACGTGACAAGAAAACTTAATTCATATTTCTTTGAAATTATGACCGTTTCAAAAAAATCATTTCTAAGGTTCTCCTACCACTTCCACGAAGGAAAGATTTTATCATGCCCACCAGAGGTAAAAATAGTAAAAATTAACCTATATACACCCAAGAGAAAGTACTGGGAAGATTGTTCACAAAGTTCCATTTATTCTAGTGGCAAAAACATGTGTATACATACAAATATACACACACAGGTAGAAGCTATATTATTTGTTCAATAATACTATTCTACCGATCCCTAGAAACCCAAGATGAAAACCCAGAGACAGCACTAGAAAGCGGCAATAGAGTCAAACAAAGACTCGAGTAGACTTCCCTTCCTTGCAGCACTCCACCTCCCTCAGCACTGTTTGCAGCCCTTTTCCAGCTGCATTCGCCATTGGATGTATTCCATGAGAAGGGCCTTTAATGCATGCTCGATTCTCCCTCTCCTCCTCAAAGGAAATATTGTAACGGTTTTCAACATCTGGAAACAAAAAATCATCTCCTCATCAAAGAAAATCATAACTAGAAAGTCAAATTCGGCTCCATCTTAATGAAAATTTTGGAGAAAATGAGTTTAAGAATAATGATTTTTTTGGAGAACGCGCTGTTAAAAAAAAAGGAAATATTTTATTTGTTACATATAATATTATTTTATTGGAGAATTTGGACTGGGCCAAAAAATGAAGTGAACAATTTCCTATATAACCTTGAGCTAGATTCTCATAGGGCTGGCCATCCTTGGTGAGAGCCATCATGACTTGAGGAATTCCAAGGGGAAGATTGTCACCTTTATCAACTTGCCAAAAGTGAATCACTTTACCGTAAGTCTTGGCAACCTTCTCAAATTCCTTGCGCTGGACGGGGCCGGGCACTCCGGGCATGAACAGAACCCCACTCTTCACTTCAAATTCGTGGGAGTGCCAGAATTGCTTCTCATCATCCGGCAGTGTCAAGAAAAGTTCCTCTGATACTATATACTCTACCCCAATCAGCTGCCCATCATCATCAGGCCTGTCATATATAAGACACTGCCGGAAATCCCCGTTTAGATGTCCACAGAAATGGTGCGCTTCCACCTGTCGAGTCATATCATGTCCATAGAAATGGAATCTGAGACCAAACAGACATTTTAACCAACAGGTAAATAATCACGTCAATTTTTCTGCAAAAGTATACAAATCAATGCAAAACAAGCGAAATTAGAGATGGGCAAGGCTTACGCGCAGAGATGCTGGTGAATTTTGTTAACAGGGTCAAACCCTTGAATAGTGGCGGTGGCCTTTTCAAGAAGGGCTGTTCCAATCTGGGTTGGCTCAGCAGGAATCTCTGGATGTGTAGAAACATTCACTCCTTCCATTAATTTTACTTTTTTTTTCTTTTTTTTTTTCAATGATTTGATTCAATTTAACAGACTTTCAAACGAAAACTGCACTTAGTTTGCATGTAGAGAGAGTGAGAAACTGAGAAAGAGCCGCATTTAGCTTAGGGAGATGGGTGCATGCAGGTCACGCGTGGCATTGGACCTGGCACGTGCTGTGAAAGGGGTTTATAAGGTGGCAGGCGTGCGTGTTTTCGATTATGTCGGCATATTCTGCGGGATAAGATACGTAGTCGGTGATAGCTACATACGAACGGCCCTTGACTAGCTCATCAATTTGCATCACTAAAAATTGATCGTTTTAAATAATGAAATATATAAATTATTTTTTTAATGTTATTAATTAGGGTGATTAGCACAAAACATTCCCAATTACCCTTTTAATAATTTATTTGGACTCATTTGTAATTTTTTGAAAAATTTGGGAGTATAATTATAATTTGTTCTTAATTTTTTTTCTTTTATTTAAATAAGAAGGTATATATATTATTTTACATTTTTTTAATTGAGAAATGACATTTTTAACAATGAAATGTGAAAATAGGGCTGAAAATGCCAAAAAAATGAAAAGTGGAGATATTTCGCATAATAACAAAAAAAGGTGAAGACGTTTTGTGCTAATTACCCCTATTGATTATTTGAATCCAGCTGAGCTCATGTTTGAACTTAATTTTTTTCAAACTCATTTTCAACAACTCATTTTTTAATAAAATAATTTTTTGTGTAAAATCAAATTTTTCCTTATTTTATAATCACATTCTCCAGAAAATCAGTATTACATAACTCATTTTCACAACAAAATGAGCCTCAAACAGTAGCCTAATATGAATATAAAATTGTGTTTATATGTTTGATTTTTCCTCATTGTTCCATTGACTGTTCCCTCGATTAAATTTTTGAACATTAAAAATTTTAAATATCAAAATTTTAGTGCGAATAATTCAGCATATGAAACGGATTTAAGTACTTGTTATAATTCGTTTTTGATTCTTGAGATATTTATTTGATTAATAGTAAAGTTAAATTAAATTAAATTTCCTCAATTTTTTTTAGGAAAATTTATGTCTACGGTTTTTAAATTTTCAATATTTGCATATTGGGTTCCCAAACTTGCGTCAAACACGACTCATGCTTGCCTTTCACGTCTCCGTCGCAAACTATTTTAAAAACTAGTACTTGATTGTTTAAGAGGCTCGATTGTTACAAAATTAAAAAATTGAATTTAGATGTCAAAAAAATTCAAGGAGGTTAGGAAGTCTTGGTGTAAATCTTTTTATTTGATAGAAAGTCGACTCATTTCAGAGTAGTGCCGAAAAAGTATTTTTGAAATCCTGAACGATGAAATTTGGCGAAACAAGCCATATGCCATGGACAAATCTACCCTTAGACAAAATGACCAAACCAAATCAGACCAGGACCAAATTGTAATGAGTGGTTCGGCTCAATTCTACAAAAAAATAAAAAATAAAATTGATTCTAGTACTATAACTGAGAGTCATATGGTTCTGGTGCCGATTCGATTCTTATTCTAAAACCAAGAACCAAACTCAATATTTAAATTTTATTATTTTTTCACACACACACACCCCACCCCGCCCCACCCCCCCCACCCCATTTGTTTTGGATTAAAATC